GCTTAGCGCACCTCCATCACTGCCTGCAATGCGCACAGAGCTTGTGCTGGTCCCTTCAAATGCTTTGCCAGCCACCGTCTCCACGTCTCCGACGACAGAAAGAGCAGCACCCCTGCACGAATGTCGCTTCATCAACCCAGCTGTTGCAGTTTCGACCGTCCAAGTATGAAGGCAGTGATTCTATGACGCACAGGCCTTCTTCTCCTCCTGCGCGACTTGCTGCGCAGCTTCTGCTAGCTCTGCCTTCAAGCAGCGGCTTTCAAGGCCGACATAACTCACGCAAAGACCAGATTGCGAAGCAAGATGCTGATCTTAGGCTGAACTGCTCGTCGTCCTCCAGGGTCAGAGAATGAAGTAGGACCCGAATCTTTAAGCGAAACGGACCATAGCAATTGCGGGTAAGACCAAAGATGTGTCGTCAGACCAGCGTTGCTAAGCACCCGAATCTCAGTACGGATGGAGCAACGGGACAAGAACATAGGACCAGCTCTGCGATGGCACAAGCCCTCCGTGCTCGCAGGCTCTTTTGAACTGTTGCTAGCTCTGTACAAGGGTCGCTCCTGCAAGCATTCCAAGACCTGTACAAAGGAGGAGCAAGCTTAGGTAAGCATCCTGCCTACGCCCGCGCAAGCTCAGCCTGGAAACAATCCGAGAATGACTTGCCGGAATTTGTCGTCGTCATAGTCCACGCTTATCCAGGTGCGGGTGCCAGTCTCGAGCGCAGACCCCCACCCCTTCGTGTCTCGATAGACTCGCACCTCTTCAAAACGACACACACTTTCGTCGACGACTGCAGCCATCGCCAATGGATCGTGAAGCTTCTTGCCCTCTCCTCGTGCGTAATTGCACATAGCATGGTACAACCTTGAGGCAGACGGCGGCATCGGAATCGAGTTCCACAACTTGCACACCTGCCCCTGGGGCTCCTTGCTGCGGCCAAGCTTCAACTTCAGTGCTGCGGCCCGGGTCGTCTCAGGCTGTGCTTTCTGGACAGCATCTCGGAAGGCATCATGCAGCCGGCTATCATACACGACCTTATGTCTCCAGGCAAGATTTCGATTGCGACTGACCTTGCTACTGTCCGGGTGGTGCAGCTGTTTGCCATCAAACTGGAGTCAGCGACGACTGCTAAGCTGCGCAGTGGTGTGAGAGACTCTCGAGTGGCATGATGGACTGGCTGGTTACTTGGCTCGGTGGCTATGACTGTGAGTGCCGGCTAGCTGGTCGGGTGTTCAACCATTCGTTTGGCTGGTGCAGGCTTCATCATGCACTCCTTGATCTCAATCTCGATGCAATATGCCCTCCGGCCAGTAAAGAAGGTAGGATTCAGCAAAACCCCCCGATCTTGCAGACCCCCCAACCCCTCCGAGAATCATTACTAATTTGCTTGCTCGTTTTGGCAATGAGGGCGGAGCGTCAGAGCATGCAAAAATAAGGGATCGCAATCGTTCTCATCTTCTGACTAATCATTGAGGCCTGCGCGCGGTGGCAAACGTTCTTGGATACCAGCACTTTTCTGATGATTGCTTCGCTGGCCAGAGCTGCATGTGCTGCAGGCCGGTTGCCTGGGCATTCATGTCAAACGGCCCTGGCGTAAGTCAAAACAAAGGCGAGCGCTCCGCGACCCTCATTTTGCCTGGCGACCATTGAAGTTCCAGGTTTCACATGTCGTTCTCCCTGCAAACTTCCTGAAGCGAGCCGGTTCTGAATTCTGCAGTCGAGGGAACAGGCTCGAAGCCAGGACACTCCATCTGCAAGTGCTTCGGCACCACACCATCGCCAGCGAAGCCTCCCTGTGCCACCCATCGGCCCACGCCGAAACCACCAATTTCCAAAGCTGCCCCCAAGTTGTGCAAAGGGCCTCGGACAGTAGCACACCCAAAAGAGGAAGCGCCGTGATAGCCCCTTTTTGGCCCGTGGCCTCCTGTGAGGAGCGTCGTGCCTGCATCACAGCACTCCAGCAACACTTGCGTAGCCGTCTCGATTCCAGCACCTTCCCAAGCAAATAACGCAGGCCCACACGGCCGCACCACATTTGTATCGAGCACGCATCGGAAGACCCTGCCGCCTGCCTCGCAGCACCTTCTCAGGGACGCGACCAAAGCTGTCGTAAAACTTGCCACGCATAACTTTCTTGTCCGCGTTCTTGGGCCATTCTTGTGCTCCTACTCGCACACCCGGCAGCTGCAGCTCCTGAAGAATCCAGAGAACCAAGGCGACCTGCTCCGCTGCACCTCACAAGATCTTGCAGGCCACAGGTCGCCCTCCCGCAGTCAAGACTCAAGATCGAGGCCCCCGGCCGGGAGTGATCGTCACCTAACAGAACGCAAAAGTCGCAGGGGCGGGACATGGCAGGGCTGTGGACTGCACGAGGCTGTGAGAGACTCTGAGCCGCAAGCCGCGCGCAGGTGGACTCTCGGATTTGCGGCCAGCAGCAGCAAAGTGAGCACATCGTCAGGGTCGCCGGTTTCCATGTCGAAGACGACCTGCACCTGTAAACCACAGAAGCCCCCTCGAAGCTGCTCATCATAATGCGGATGTGGTATGATGAGATGACCTTTTTCCCAAGGCAAAGACTTCTTCGGCATCCGCCTCTACTCCCGCCGTCGGGTCCGCTGCGATATCCTTGCTCCTGCCTCATCAGGGCTCGATCAGAGTTTGCATGGTTCGTTCTGCTCGTGCTAGGTCAAAAGCCTGCTGGTGCCGAAGGCACGGAAGACGCAGCTGCGTAACCCCCCTGCAGGGATGCCGTAATACAGACACGAAACGGAAACTGCGATTTAGCTGCAGTGGCAGTGGTTGGCTGTCTGTGAGACCTTGGGTTCTCTATCTCGTTGCCAGCGCCTCGGCCGAGGACCTGCCGGCAGGGTTAGAACGCCTGAACTTCCTGGCGACATGTCTGGCTTGCCTTCAGCTGTCCCGCTTGGGACAGGCCCGCTAGGCTGTGGCTCCATGCCGAAAGCGAAAAGGACAGGAAACACTGTAGCGATTGCAGCGTCTCGTGCAGAAATAGCTGCAGATGGACAGCCGTGCGGGTGAAAGGGCACTGCGAGCAAACAAGCTAGCAGCTGTCCTCAACGCCTTCCTGAGCTTCCGCAGCCTCCTCCTCTTCTATCCTCCCATGGCAGCTGGCATAGCCGAGGAATGCCGCCACAAACCGAGCCAGGCCGAAACACCGCCTGATCTGTAACCCCTACCCGGGCAATGATTCATGGCCTTGCTTCTTCTTGCTTGGCTCGGCCAGCATTGACCTCAGCATACATCGGGCGGCTTCTGCTGGACCTTTGCCACCTATATCAAGGTCGCGACTTTCGCCCAGCTTTCTCGCAGAATCTTGAGGCGGTCTGCAAACTCATTTCGGACATAAATGCAAGCCTCAGCAACAACAGGCTTGGCAGTTTGAGCGAGTAAGTGCGAACCTTGCTGTCAAGAAGCCCCTCCTATCCATCCAAAGAGAATCATATATCCTGTCCGGACCTTGGAACAAAACAAACAGCTGCAAGACAAGGAAAAAGGATCTGTCACATTTTGTTGCCGTGATGGTCACCTCTGGGGCAAAGTTCTGGCCCAGCTCCGCTGCCAAACAATCCACAATGGCCTCGGAAAAATATCGTCTGCTAACGAGGCCAAGAACTCCTGCCGTGTTCAGGCTTGGGCATCACGAAAAATCATTGCCCGTGGGATAGTAACCTTCGCCCATGCTCTGACCAGAAATCTAGAAGAGCATCAAGAACGAAGCTGCAGAAATACCGCGGCCTCGAAGTTGAGGTGACCTGGCCGCACATGGAGACGATCGCATTCCTTCCGTGACCTGTAACCTGCAACCTTCTGCGCTCTTCGGCCCGAGCGAAAAGCGAGTGACTCCCCCATCTGCTTCAGCTCTTTTGGCTTCTGCAGGTGCTCCACCTGTGTTACAGGATGAAAGACTGCAGAGCAGTGCCGGAAGATGTGGTTCTTTAAGGAAGCTGCGATGGTCTGCAGCTCATCGATGAGGCGGATGGATTGGATGACCTTCCGAGGCAGATCCGGTCTGAACCGTAAGCCACTCTTTTGTGCACCACCGCTGTCCAGGCTGGCCTTGGGGGTCTTGAAAAGAACTTGGAGCGAGGGGACACTGTCAAAGATTACGCCATACCTCAGTCAAGGCCGTGCATGCTGCGCCTGATCCACGGAAACAGGACAAGCACTTGAAGACACAAGACTGCCGGCAAGGCACAGCGATGATGCCGCTGAATCTCGGGAATCGAAGCAAGCGATGAAGGCATGCCAGGCCTGCAAGGAATAAAGCAACAACTGCAAGGCACCTCGGGTCGTGAACCTTCAGACACCTGACAAAATCTGTCTCCTTCCGCCTTAAGCATGGCTGCCGCGGTCTCCTTTGGCAGACGCAGCTCTTCGAACGTCGCTGCATTGATCCTTATCAAGAGCACAGGCAGCCCAGCAAGCCATGCAGGGCAACAAAGGCGGCAACAGGCCGTGCTACGCGTACAGCCGAGGCACTCCTCTGCGGCATCTTCCTGGCATGCAACAAGCCAACCAAGCCAATGGACAAGCGCAAAGCCCCCGCTTGACTGGTGTAAGGCTAGCGACATTGGCAAAGGTCTCAGGAATGCTCCTTAGCTGCATGAGAGCTCGTCCAGACACGAATCTCTAGGGAACTGTCTGTCTTTCTGCTCCAAGCTTCCCGGCATCGCTACTTGGGCTGTGGTTACCGTCGTCATGCGCTGGCATCAAGGGATTTCCTCAGCTCGACTCCAGGGAGAGACGGTTTATGAAGAGGTCAAGTCATCTATTACGTACACCTACAGAGCCAGGGCGCAGCTTTTTTGCTGCAGGACATGTACACGCCACTGAGCATGAGCATGCCCAATCACGAATTCGTTGGGCCCAGTGGCTGCGATGTCGACATGGACACACAGTGGACACATCTGCTACGTAGCCCCGTGAATGCTGGTGATGTCATCACGACTTGGAGCACTCCAAGACCTCAAGGCTCCGGCACCTGTCCTGCCTGCACGGAAGACAAATTGCGCCTTCATAGGGTGTCGCATGCCTTGCACCCAAACAACTGCTGTGGAATGCAACACCGTGCCTGAGCGGAGGAAGCGACCCGGAGTCTCCTTTCCGGGAGGAACGGTGATGTCATCGGCAGGCCACAGTTTCACGGAGCAGCGAAACTCCTTGAGCGTGTTTCCCAGCCGGCCTGGACCGGATTCCAAAAAATTTCTGAAGCGATAATGCTTTCGCTACGTTGAGTCGCAAGCGACGTCTTCCTTGGCGCCGCCGGATGATGAGACGAAGCCGCGCTGGGGTGAGGCCTGAGGCTGTCGCTCGGTATCGCTCGGTACTCCCGCGTAGCGAGCGTCCGTGCAATTTAGGCTCAAGCTGACCGGGTGGAGCTGCCTGAGGTAGGTCTTCCATGCTTGATCTCTTTAGTGCCTCCCGCGAGTTTACGCTCCGTCTGTGCTTGTAGACAGAGAGACTTTTGAACAACGACCTGAATCTCAGGGCTCTGACGTGCGTGATACGTCCAGTGGCGAATTGGTGAAACGACGCTTGGGCGAGCCATGCTCGAATCTCAACAGCATAGTGCACACGAGACGACAAGACGATTGCTCGTCGGCCCCAGAGCTTCCACATGCTCAGGTCTGCCAGAAGGCAGGAACGAAGCCCTCAACAAACAGCTACGGCTAATATCATGTTTTGATCGGCTTGTTGCTGCCTTGTAAAGCTGAGATCAGCTACATTTTGAGTCTCCTGGCTCTCACCGTCAAATTGAGAGACGTTGTCGAGGCAGCTGTTGTCAGCTTCGGGAAAGTTTCCGGTTGCGGATTTGCAGGAAAATAATAGCTCTGGTTCTTCAGCGCATTACGATTGAAGCACCACAGCAATGCTTCTCTGAGCATGGAGGAAGACAAGGGATGGAAGACGACAAAGCTGCAGCTCTTCTTGACGAGGTCTGGCAACTCATGCTCTTTGGACAGAACGATTATCGGAACTCCGCCATAATGCGCATCAGCCCGGACTGTCTTGACAAGTCCTTCTGCTTCAAGTTCCGACTTGCCCAGGTCTACAATCAGTGCATGGAATCTCTCCTTGCCATCGTGCAGCCGCTTCCAGAAATCGTTAGACGAGCGAGCAAAACATATTGACATCTCCCTGGCAGCACAAATGAGGGATCGCATGATCCCCTTTCGAACTTCTGCCTTGTCAGTGAATATGAGCACAGATCTCCCCGTGACTGCTTTTTCAAAGGCCTTCATCAAACGCTGCGCCTGCTTGCTCTTCCCCCCCTTGGATTCTGCAGCTGAAGGCGCGTCTGCTCCATCTAGCTTACTGATATCCGCAAACTCTGTCCCAATGGCGTCCACGGAGCTCTTCAGCTCTACTGTGGTCGACATTTCAGGGAGCTCTTCAGCTAGGCCCAGCTTCGGCAGGTTCGGAACAGATGAAGTCTTCGTCACTGCAGGCGCAGCATCCTCGATTTTAACTTCCGTTTGAAAGAACACACCACTGCTGGTTGCCGGCAAGGAAGCCGAGTGCGAGATAGCAGGTGGGCTTCTGACTTCAGGCAAGACTTCGCCGTACCTTGCATTTCCTGGAACCGTGTGACCAACCGGATTGCTGGGTGGCCTCCAGCGAGAACTGCCTCGCTTCAAGCGTTTCAATCCAGACCGGTGCTCCTTCAGAGCCGCTGGATCTGCGTAGATTCTGCGGACCGTTTCCACGCCAGGACCGCAGGTGCTGGGAGCACTGCCGCCCAGCCCCTCCAGCACACACAAAGAGCTAGGATTCCTGAGCTCCAGACTTCCCTCCCCCCCGTGCAATACCCGCAGCCTGCAGCTGCCTGCAGCTAAGGCTCTTGTCGTTCGGTGGCCGCCGCCGATGATCTAAAACCAGAGGCAACCAGTCATCTAAATCCTGCACAGAACCAGTGCAACGATCGCCCCGGTGCAGCTACTGAGAACACATTGGCATGTCTTCCAGCTCCTCCAGCTCGATGACGGGCGGGGCTCCGCTGCTGGGCGGAAGGCGGACCTCCTGGCGCTCCGCTGGTTCCTGTTCCCGTCGTTCGCGACGCTTCTGAAGCTTGGCCAGCCTTAGGTTTGGGAAGAAAGGGCGATCTAGGCTCGTGCTGGGCTCGTGCCATGTCAGGTGAGGAACTGCTTCACCGCCGCCTTGCTCGCCCCGGCTGGAAGTACCATGACATTTATCGCGGGGGGGACCTTCAGAGCGCTTGAGCCACCTTTCTGCGGAGGTTGGGCCGGTCCAAGATGCCCGAAACGGCGAAACGGTACTGCTCATCGCGAGCAGCTCTAGCCCTTCTCCGGCTCGTGCCTCCGAGCCTGAGGCCTTGAGAAGTTCCCGGCGCACCTGAGCTCGTTACAGCGAGTGCTGCATGCAGCCACTCAGTCATGGCCCACGGCATGATGCCATCTGAAAAGATGCATGTTGAGAGCACGCTGTGCAAGCCCATGTCCTTGAGTTGTGGAAAATATAGGGCACATGCCACTGATGCCGATTGCATGCAGTGTGTGGCCCAAGGCTTCTGAGAAGCGAGGGTTACAGGTCGAGTGTAGGGCCGTGTGGGGAAGTGTTGGGCAGCCTTGGACCTGGACCGCAAAGGTGCGCCTTCAGCACCTTTGAGCATGGCCCTCTACCCTGCCAAGACGGCATTGCCGATCGTGACGGCCTTTCTCCGCGGATGCCTTGAACACCCGGTGCTCTGCAAAAGATGCTCTGGACCTGGAGCTCCGCAGAGCTCCTCTAGTCCGGATCCTCGATCAGATCGCCTGGGACTTCAAAGGCAGCGCGCCCCTTCCCCGACTCGCCTGCTGTGAAGACCCAGTTCCAGCCACGCCACGGATATCAAGGCCAGATTCTAAGTAGTACCTGAGGCTCAAAAGTTTATGCGGGACCGATGCAACCTAGCCGGGGCTAGCAGTAAAGAGGATGCTGAAAAGAGATGTCTCTGAGCAATCTGGGCTTAGGCTAACAGCACCGGTCGTACGGCAAGAACCGGCGTTGAAGGCAGACTTGCGACGATAGAAGCCTTTCAGTGGCCAGTATTTCCAAATTCTGCGAGACGCCCGCCATTCTCGATGGTCTTCTCGTTGTCAGGCAGCGCTGCCTGGATCAAGATAGCATGACTCGATGCGCGAATTACTAGGCCGTTGTCCGATCCCTCGCATGAAACACAATGTGGATAAAACATGATACTGATAAAACATGATACAATCGCTTTTAGCTCCTCAAGCGTTTTCGTGTGGCTAACCCCAAACCTTCCAGTACGTCCTGAACGTCCTGAACAGAGCTTGATTCCTGCCTTCCTCGTCACTCTGAGCAAGCAAAAGCTCTGCCCTACACAGATGATGCAACTGAATTTGCTGGGGCGCGGGGGAAAAATCTCAGAGGATACCCCCGGCATCGGCATCGGGTTGGGGTGGGCGCGCCCGGCACACAGCCGGGCTATTCAAAAGGGACGGGTGTCAGATTGGGGGGAAGAGCCCTGCCTTTTTGCTAGAAAAACGGGCCTACAAGACTACTACTTACCGAAATGGATGGAACTACCCCAGCAAATCGTGAAGCACCGCAACCGATCTCCACATTAACTCAACACGAAGCAAGACCTTCGGCACAGTGTCATCGGGCTTGAGGAGCATGCTTGTACATCTGAACCTATGAGTTGAGCTGATATTCAAGCTGGACATCGACCCGTCTCTGAAAAATCGTCATTCACAGATCGTGAAACATGCTGAGGAATGCCTGCTGCTCCCAGAAGTCGCTCTCCGTCCTTCGCATCAAAACCGAGCATTTTTTGGGCCACTGTAGAACAGGACAGAGGCAGAATGTCCGGAGTGTCCTGTTGATTTTCAACATGATGGTGTTCATGGCGGCTTCGAGCTCCTGCAAGATGCTGTGTGTCTACTTCCAACTTCAAGGCGACGCCGGTACCGAGAACCCGAAACCCTGCCGGCCCGCTGTTTGGCTTCGAACTCTTCCTTTGTCGCCTGACGAGGAAGCACTGCAGGAGCAGCAAGCCGAAAGACTTCGAGCATCATTACTGAAGGCGGCCTTCATCGAGAATTCGTCCAGCCAGATATCGACCTCTAGACATTAGAGAAAGCTCTACGCTTGCATGCAGTCCAGTCCAGTCTGGCAATGCACTCGCCATGGATTGCGTGCTGCATCGTGCTGCTTGCAGAGCATTCCACGTCAACTAGTTTCAAAAACATCGGACATGTTGGGACTGCCAGCAACTCGCAGGGTCATGCAGCCTCCTCCATCTTTTTCTCAAGGCGTTCTTTATCTCGTCGCAGGATCTTCTCCTGTTTGCGGTGTTTGCGGCATGGTCCAGAAGGCTGGCTGGGCTTTAGCATCTGCGACTGCACAGAAGGGCAGGCTGAGTATCTCGCGGCATCTATGTCTTCCATGGCCTTCCTCGTCCGCCGCATGTACACCGTCAGGGACTCACAGGGGCTCTTGCCGGCATACGCAAATGCCAAAAGAGCAGAATGTCGGTTGTTGGGCTTGGTTTTGCAGTCTCTGAAATACTCGCGGGCCTCTCTGGCCATGATCTCCCCCCTTGCCAAATCATCTTCATCCTGCCCATTCCATGAATCTAACTCCAGCTGCAGATGCTGCTCAAGTACGGTGTGCCTTGTGCTGTTCTGCATCCTGAAGCATGCGCTCGATCTCGCGCTGAGACAGACGACCTTTTCTCAAGTGTCCACGAGCAAAGGTCAGCCGCTCCCGGCAGCATGGGCATCCCACCTTTCTCATTGGTGATCTGGATCTCTCCTTTCCGATGCGTCTTCATGTCCTGCTCGTGCGCAGAGTTTTGAAAAAGGGATGCTCGAGGGGGGGGGGGTTAGCTTCGGCCTCTGCGGTCACTTCCAAGATTCCGTTTGAGTCCACGTTGAAGGTGACCTGAGCATCCCTTTAGCTCTGCTCTGCGACGGCGGCCTCGGCCGCCTCGGCCCTCAGCCCGCCTTGATCTTCGGCACGCCCCTGAGAGTCTTTGGAAGGCCGGTGAGAACGAACTTGCCAAGGTAGTTGTTGTCCTCATATTCTTAACCCGGGCCAGCAAAGGCAGCTGCCAGCTTTGCTTTTGTCTGCCCAGCTGCTTTGACCATGGCTCGCTCGCCCTCGTAGACCTCCGCGCTGCAGCGGCCAGCTGTACCACAAACAGAGCCTTTTCAGCCTCCCTGCCGGCCTTGATCTCCACGTGATCCTGATAATCCTCTGCAGTGGTGAAGTCCTGACATTTCACCCGTCTGTCCCCCGACGCTTTTCAAGCTAGCCCCCGATCAAGTGAAGCCCGGAGCCTGGCTCTTGTTGGTCGGGATGGTGCTGTTTCGCTCGATGAGTTTCTGCATCATGCCACCCGCCATCTCGATGCCTGACCAGAAGCGAGCCCACCCATGCTCATGCAATTGGTCCAGTTCCAGGCCGCCTAAGGACAAAGGTGCAACGTCGAGGAGCAGCATGTTCTCGACCTCCTCTGTTCCTGAACTTCCCGAAACGCTGCATCGAAGGCGTCTACGAGTGTAGCACTGGATCGATCGGTTCATGCAAACTGCCACAGGGTTATGTCGTCCGAGGCACCGGTACCCGAAACAATCGCTGCCTGAACAGCTGCTCCATATGCTACCGCTTCGTCCGGGTTGATCTCCTGATCCGAGAGCCCTCTGCTCGTAGCCCTGACGCACCTGGCGCACTGCGGCACCGCTGCGCCTTGCAGAGATGCTTGCCGTTGAAGAAGGAGCTGATCAGTTCTTGAACCTTGGGGATGCCTGGACATCTGGCAAAGGAAAGGCGGCCAAAGTCTCGGCTGCCGGGCCCCGCACGAGTGGAGCCACCCACGAGCACTACGTCGGAGATCTGCGACTTTGGCAGACTGCTGTCTGCCAAGCACCTAAGCACTCCAGGCCAAATCGGTCCCTGAGGTTTCTTCTCGTTGCCCAGGGCACTGTGAGACAGGCTCCATCGCCTTCTTGAAGTAATCCATGCCTGTCAATGAGGACAAGCACGCCAAGAAAACCCAATGCTGTGTTCTAAAAGCTGAGCTCCAGGCAAAGCTCTTCGAATTTTGCACGGGAAAGCCGCATACTGAAGTCGACGCCCTCGTGCAGGGAGTCAATCCTCAGGCATGGCTCGTCGCTTTCAGCGGACCCTTCTTTTGGGGATAACGGCTACTAGTTCAGCTTTACACGAGCTTGGGCCTCGTGTAGGGGTTGAACAGGCCGCAAGTGCAATCAAAAGCATGTAGAAACCACTCAGTGCAGAACTCTATTGTCACGGATGTCTGCGTGGACAGCTGGCGCTTTGCGCGCTCGCACTGAGTCCGAAGTCGACGAAGTGCTCTCTGATTCCTAGGCGCTGTGTGCCGGGAATTCACAACTTGAGGTTGAAGCTCGTCCCCTTCTTTCTTTTGCGGGGCTCCTCTCTCTTTCCTTTCCGAAGGCCTAAAGAACAAGGTCTGTCTAAGTGAGGCTGCTCGATCTCCTGCTCTGGAGGCCAGTGCGGGCTGTCTAGCACTTTCTGACGGGCGAAACATGATGTGTTTCCACAGTTTCCACCTCTCCCCGTGCGGTTTTGAAGTAGTAAAGACTGCAGGACACGGTTCATCTTGACGATGTTGACCAGGAATGCCTGCACGCACTCTTGTTTGGTTGCTTGCTTGCTATGGTGCGTGAGCACTGCAAGCATGCGCTCTGGCCCGAGGGCCTACCCCCCTTGGCGCGCGTCTGTTCGTCCTCGGGGCCCCTTTCGGGGTGGGTGACAAACACGTTCCCTCGAGTGTACGTTTGATCCCCCAAACCAACCTTGCCAAGACCATCACCTCAGCAACCTCGAAGGTACAACTCGAGTCATCCGTGGTGCACGCACTCTTGCACTCGGACACATGCACCACTCTCTCTCTCTCTCTCTCTCTGTCTCTGTCTCCCCCTCCCTCTCCCCGCACACCAAGAAGCCTGGTCGGATCAGACTTGTGCTTCCGGCGGAACTCCGAAATGCAGTAGCTCAGCATGCCTCGGGAAGAAATGCATTAGCTGTAGTACGCTGAGGCAAGGAAAACTCGTCGAGCTGCGATTGTCGAAGTCTTCTCCACCCAGGTGAGGATCTCCAGCTGTTGCCTTCACCTCGAAGACCGTATCCGTGATTGTCAGAATGGAGACCTGAGCACAGGAGCCATGCTATTGCTCACAGAACGCTACCAGCCCCAAGAGCCGCAAGCAACTGCAGCGAGGCCGCATCAAAAGTGCCTCCACCCATATCGAAGACTAGGATGTTGGTCTCCTTGGCCTTGGAGCACATGTGGATGCATCGGCTTCAGATGGCTTCAGGTCCAAATCGACAAACTGATAATA